GGCTGGCGCCCACCGGGAGCGGAACCGCTGACCGTCGCCGGGGCCCCAGGGTGGACGCAGCGGCCCAGCACGGACCGCCGAGGCCGCGCGCTTGGCCGTGCGCGGAGGTTCACGGCGTTTCGCTCCCGCCTTTCAGTTCCACGCGCGTTTGAATTTCCGGGCGACGGTATCGTTTTAGAATGAAAAGCCCAGAAAGGACAGGAAGGGCCCTGACCGCCTTCCTAGGTGACGCGTCAAAAACACGCTGAGAAGCGCCTCATGAAGAGCTGGCGTCGGAACGCGGCGCATGAGCCCGGCTTCCGACGCCGCTGTCATGATGGGAGGGAAGCTTCGAGCCCACAGAGGGGCCGCATTTAAAACCGCAGCGCGGGGCGTCAGTGACGAGGGTAGGGAAGGGGCAGTTGGGCAAAACGTGTCACGGAAGGCTGTGGTCAGTGTTCAAGGTCACGCTGTCACAGAGTCTTCCTGCAGGCCCTCGGTCAGCTCAGGCCGCTGTGACAGGCTCCACGGCCGGGGTGGCTTAGCCAACGGGCGCTCTCTCTCCGGCGGGAGGCTGGAGCCCACGGTCAGGTGTGGGCAGCTGTTCCTCGGCCTGCAGACGGCCGTCCCTCCCACGGTCGTCCCTCTGTATGTCTGTGCCCTCGTCTCTTCCAACGGGACACCAGTCCTCCTGGGTCGGGGCCCGTCCAGACGCCCCATTCCAGTAGAATCACCTCTTCAAGGACCTGTCTCCACGCACAGTCACATTCCGAGGTCCCGGGGGCCAGGACTTGACATGCGACCCTGGGGGACACAGTTAAGTCCGTGGTCTGCAGTGAAATCGGGTCGTAAAGGAAGCATGAGCAGCGGGGGCTGAGCCTGCAGGGGACGATGCGGCAGAGCCGGCGCGCTGGGGGGCAGGGCACGCAGGGGTGACGAGGCGTCAGAGCAGGGGGACGAGACGGGGAAGGGCGCCCCGGCCCTGAGGGCCGCCGCGGGACGCTGGACAGCACCGGCTCCTGACAGGGGACCGACCTCTTGGCTCCCTTTCGCCCTTTGCATGGCGAATAAAAAATGTACACTTAACATCCAAAATCAGAGACGCTCATCTGCCAGACCCGTCGCTGCACGGGGGGCGCCGGCCGTGGGACCCCGGAGGCTCCCTGTCCGTGGGGACCTCTCATTTCCTTAGCAACACATCGCCTCCGGAGACCGCGGCCGCTGCCGACCGGGAGGGCCTTCGAGAAATTTAAATGCAGCATCTGCGTTCCTCCCGGGGAGACGCGGGATCTGACATGAGCACGTTAGCAGAGGCCCCGAGGCAGTGAGCCGCCGTAGGGGGGCCGCGAGGGTCTGCACCCACCGGAGCCCCTGAGTGAGGCGGGGAGGAGCCTCAGAGAGAGGGCCTGGCGGGGGCGGGGGCCCCGGCGCTCCCCGACTGACGAAGCCCCCGGCACCGGCCCCTGGGCGCGGTGTCCCCAGGGCAGCGAGTCTCCTTCGTCCCACCCACCCTCGTCCCAAAGTTTGTTTGTTACTGCAGTGGCCAGGAAATTATAAGACCTCTGTGTAGTTTTTTATTGTTTGCGTTTCTGGTTTTCGGGCAAAATGCACTCTTTAGGGCGAACGTCTGTCCCTGGGGATCGTGAGTGTGATCTATTCAAGAAAAGAACTCGGCTCTCCTCAGGCAGTCAAAAGATCCGATTTTTCCTAAGGAGGTCGCAGTCTGTCACATCACCCAAACCAAGCGGAAGGTCACACAGGTCTCTGCTGGGGGCAGGAAGGGCCACCTGGGGGCTTCACCTTGGTCGCTCGGAGCGCCAGGCGTCAGCTCCCCAGAGGCGTCCAGGGACCGAGCAGAGCTAACTTTGCTGGACTTGCCGCCACCATGGGGAGGATGCCACCCGTACAGCCTCAGTCGCATCACACGGGGAAATGAGGGCAGGGCGTTCACAGCCGTGGGCCTGGGGCGGGGGACACCCACGCGGATGGCCCGGGAGCGGCCGCGTCTCGGGGAGCACGTTGGCGTCGCCAGGCCAGCCACGTAGCCAGTCCTGGGGCCGGCTCGCTCTGGGAGGCAGCAGGTCAGCTGTGCCGGACCCGGAGCTGCTCACCGCGGGGGCCGCAGATTCGGTCGGCTTCCTTTGGCACAGGCCTAGAAAGTTCTCTAAGCTTTCTCTCTAGCTGGTTGCTAGGGAAATTGGATAAGGGGTGTGTTTCAATGACTTGCCACGTTTAGTTGTGCATGGAATCGGGTACTTAATTCGGCTCGGTGGCGGGTTTGCCAGGAAGAGCTATACAAACGTTCATAACCGAACGACATATTCTGAATGTCGTTACGAACGACGCCTTGTCCCCACTCATTTACGGATGAGTCGATCAGCTTTTGAACTGCCACGACCCCTTAGTGACAAGTACGAGAGAAGAGACTTAGCTTAAGAGCAGGTGCTGCTCCGTTCGCGTCCGTGGACGCCGCGTCCGTGTGCTCGTGGCCGAGAAGGGGAGCAGTGACCATCGCTTTCTTCTGGTAAATTCTCTACCGTGAAAGGTAAGTCTGCCACTGGACGAATTAAAAACAATGCATTCGGATCATTAAGAAATTCAGAAACTGACCATCATGAGTGACTCCGTTTCCCTAAAAAGCAGTGGTACTAAAAATGTTACTTTTTAAAATCATTAACAATCCCAATAAGAAAGCTTTTCTGACTCTGGGGGAAAAAAATTGGCCCCGAGACACAAAACTTGTTTCAGAAACAAAAAGGAACTTCCTAGAGCGTAACTTTCCGTTAAAAAGTTGTCAGGTCGCTTTTTTACCTGCGCATCGTCGTTCGATCACTACTTCTGTTGTCTCTTTTGCCAAGGTTTTTTCTTTCGTTTTTGTTTACTTACGCCTCGCTGCTCGATCCACAGACACACGAGTAATTCAATATCGCCGTCGTCTGAATTACCTGGCACCCTAAGTTAGTAAATCTGTATTTCTTAATTATTTTGCGCGTCGCAGTCATTACGAATTAACATTTTAAATTCGGAGAGTGACTATTTTTAAACACGTATCAAACGCCTAAACTCCTTCCAGGTGGCGCTCGATCCGCATCTGGCAGAAGAACCGGGGAGCATCTGCTCCCTAACGAATCGTCTCGTTGTCACCTGCAGGCCCGGCTACGCACACCTGTTGACCACTTGTGTGTGTGGGCGGGACCCAGCGTCTGCTCGTGAGTAAATTGTACCAGTGAAAATCACGTCATTCGCTGACAGTGTATTTCTTTTTCCCATGGAGGAAAAAAAAATAATAACCTTGAGGCATGTGAGTCCCTCGCTGGGCGTCGTGAGCAGACGTCTACGCCACGGTCACCTCGGGAGCAGCCGGCACCGGAGCGGCCACGCGCAGCAGGCTGAGCCCGCGGGGCGAGCAGGCAAGAAGGTTGCCTGACGGCCTGGCCTTGGAGGGTCTCGTCTCTTTATGTTTTAACTGTAGTAAAATGCACACGACAGAACGCACCGTCTTACCCATTTTGAAGTGTCCTCTTCAGCGGCGTGACGTACCCCCGTGGCGGCGTGTCCACCACCACCACCCGTCCCAGAACTTCCTCGCCGTCCCACACGGGAACTCTGCCCCAGGAAGCACGAACCCGCCCCCCATCGGCACCTGCCACCCACCCCCTCTCCGTCTCTGCGGTCCCACGCATCCTGCCCACGCGGGATCATCACGCGGGTCCCCGTCTGGTGACGGGCTCGCTTCACTCGGCGCCACGTCCGCAGGGTCCGTCCGCATCTCAACATCCCCGCCGTGTGCGTGCGCCGTGTCCCGGTTACCCGCGAGGTTCGCCTCCACCTTGGGGGGTCGTGAGCGGTGCCGCTGGGGATGGGACTCTGCAAACGCCCTCGGAGTCCGGGCCCTCGGTCCTCCGGGGCACAGAAGCAGGAGCGCGCGTCCGCTCGCTGGGGGAATCCCGCGCCGTTTCTGAGGGGCCGCCACCCGCGGGGCGCGAGGCTCTGGCTTCTCCACGTCGTCGCCAGCGCTCGCCGTGTTGTTCACGCGTCCGTCTTACCGGGT